TGATCTACATAGTGAGTTCCTAGCCAGTCATAGCAACACAGTGAGACCCTGTCTCAAAAAAATTATTTTTTAAAATCATCTAATTGGGATGCTGTTAATGGGAATGGTTCTGGCATTTTACTACCGAACAAAGCAGAATTCATGGTAAACCACCATCTGAAGCCAGAAACTACACTGATCAGAGCAAACAACTAACTTCAAACAAACAAACAAAAAAAGTTTTTCTTGTCTTGTCACTACAAATACTTGACCTTTCACTCCTTTCACTTCCACTTAGGAGCTGCGGAATATTCAAAACTCTAAGATTTAAGTATGCTTAAGTTTTTTCTTGTATCAATGATGTGACCTTATATTTGTCTATGGATTCTTAGATACAACATCAAAAGCATGAGCAATGATTTTTAATTTTTAATTAGAAAAAAGGGAATATAATGGCAAGTGCCTATAATCCCTGCTACACAAGAGGCTGAGGCAGGAAGATCACCTGAGCCCAGAATTCAAAACCAAACTGGACAAGACACAAAGCAGTACATGGTAGCCTTTTCCTGTAATCCCTATACCCAGAGGCTAAGGCAGAAGAACTGCCAAGAGTGTGAGGCCAGCTTGGGGCACATAAACAAATTCAACACAACCTGGGTTACAGTGAAACTTTATCTCAAAACAAATCATATACGGTATATTTTTAATTTGTTATGTCTACTTATTTGTGTGTGTATATGTATGTATGTACATACACAAATACATACATACATACACACACACATACACACACACACAAGAATGTGCCATGGCCCTAATAAGCATGTGAATGAAGATCCTGAACAAATCAGCTCTCTCCTTCCACCATGTGGATTTCCCAGGCTTAGCAGCAAGCACGTTTACCCACTAAACCATCTTGCTGGCCCTTTATTCTTTATATGTCCAAAATATATAAAGAATTCTTATGGTTCAACAATAAGGAAAACATCTTAAGTGAGCAAAGGCCTTTCTCCAAAGACACACAAATGAACAACAAACTCATGGAAATATGCTTACTAGCATTAGGCAGTAGGAAACCACAAAACCATGATGAAATACCACACCATATCCAACAGGGTAATAATTGACAAAAAAAAAAAAAAAAAAAAAAAAAAAAAAAAAAAAAAAACAGAAGACAAGCATTGGGAAGAACATAAGGAAGTTGGAAACTCATGAACAGCTAATAGAAATTTAGTGGAAAACAGTTTAGAAACTCCTCAAAAATGTAAGAACTGTCATATCAACTAGCAATTCCACTCCACGGGACAAACCCAAAAGAAGTGTAAACAACTATTCATAAAAATACATGTACAAACATGTTTGTAATAACAATATTCATAAATCAAAACATAGAAACCAGCTAGAGAGATGGCTCATCTTTTTAAGAGTGGATACTGACTTGTAGAGGGACACAGGTTTACGTCCCAGTACCCACAATGGGTGGTTCAACCATCTTTATCTCCAGTTTCAGGGGATTGGTACCCTCTTCTGGCCCCAAAGGGTACCTGTATGTATGTAATACACATACAGAAAAGCAGGCAGGCACACACAAAAAAAAACATATATATATATATATATGTATGTATGTATGTATGTGTATGTGTATGTGTATGTGTATGTGTATATGTATATGTATATATATATAGTGTGTGTGTGTATATGTATGTATATGTATATGGCCATATGATATGAAGCAGCAATTACAGATAAATGCAAAGAGAAATTATGCTCTCAGATAACAGGTTAGGGGAAGAGGATTCAACAAAACTGGCATATAATAGTGTAAATATAAGGAATGCCGCTGGATTGTAATAAAAGTAGTCAATTTTAAGTAAGGAACATTTCACATTAATTTAAAAACAAAAACTATACCGTAGGAAGGCTTTGGCCTGCAGCACTGCCTGCCAACTTTGTCTAAATTGATTACAGAGTAGAGCCAGGGTCAGCAGAGCAGTCTTCACCTTGAGTTGATGACCAGTGTAGATGCTCAGGCCACACCCAGGCCCAGACTCAGAAACTACACAGAACAAGCTCTCCAGGTGACATCACTATGTTAGTAGCATTTCCCAAGGCACTTAACAAAAACATGAGGCAGACAGTCCACGAGAACATATTTACATACAATGCTTCTGTGTACACAGAAGGTTGCCTGAAAGAGCATAGCCCACTAACAGAAACAGGAAGCTGAGAAAACCAGTGACAGAGCAGAGTCCCACCAAGGTCTGTTGGTCCACAAAGAGAAGCAAGGATGCCAAGAGACAGAAAGTGCCTTTTGAAGCATGACATGAGTGCCTACCAGACACTACCCCAGGAAGGAAGAGGAGGATGGACAGGCAGAGAGCGCTATACAACTCCTATGTGCAGGCCTCTACCCAAAAACCCAGAGCGAGACATAACTTACAGCTGTCACTCAAGAAATGCCCTTAGGGGCCAAGGGTTGGTGGTGCAGGCCTTTATCCCAGCACTCAGGAGGCAGAGGCAGGCGAACCACTGTGAGTTCGAGGCCAGCCTGGTCTACAGAGTGAGTTCCAGGACAGCCAGGGCTGTTACACAAAGAATCCCTGTCTTGAAAAACCAAAAAAGAAAGAAAAAATAATAAAGAAGGAAAGGAAAAGAAAAGAAAAATGTCCTCAGAGTGACTATGTGCAAAAGGCAGAGGGTAACCCCAACCCTGAGTCCCCAGGTCTAAAGATAGGGTACTCATTAACTCTCTGAGATTTGGTTTCCTTCTCTGTAAAAAAAAAAAAAAAAGAGGAAGGACCAATAATCAACTTCACAAGAGAATATCAGGAAGGTGAACTGAGATAAGAGAGTTCGTAGTAAACCTCATGACTACATCATACCACACAGGGACAACTGGCTGTGTGACAGTTTTTTGTCAACTTTACACAAGCCTGGGTCATCTAGGAAGAAGAAACTTCACCTGAGAAAATGCCTCCATAGGTTAGTCTGTGGGGCACTTCTTTTACTATTATTAAATAACTGGTGTAGAAGGGCCCAGTCCACTATGGGTTTGTTTTGGTTTTTTGTTTGTTTGTTTTCTGAGACTTGGTTTCTCTGTATAACAGCCCTGGCTGTCCTGGAACTCACTTTGTAGACCAGGCTGGCACAGAGGCCCACCTGCTTCTGCCTCCTGAGTGCTGGGATTATATGAGAAAGCAAGCTGAGCAAACCATGTGAAACACGTCAGTAGGCAGCATTCCTCCATGGCCTCTGCTTCAGTTCCTCCTTTTATTTCCTACCCTTGACTTCTCTTCATGATGGAGTATGAGTGGGACAGTATGCTGCAATAAACCCTTTCCTCCCCAAATTGCTTTTGGTCACGGTGTTTTATCACAACAATAGAAGCCTAACTAGGACAGGCTGTAATGTGTGATGGTGTATAGCTACAAGAACAGATGTCTACATCAGGGCCAGATGGCACAGATGTCCACTATACTCAGCAATGATGGGCCTAACCCCAAAGGAGCAAGCACGCTGGAGTAAAATAGGCACTTCAGCTGGTGACCCCCAAAATCATAGGATGAAGGGCAGAGGAATATTCCTATGTCTCATCCTAGACAGTATACAAGTCCCTCATCTCTTGCAAAATCAGCTACAAACAGGCCACGTACTAGAATTCAGCCCCTTCCAGGATCAAATGCTATAGGAGACCAAGGTGAAAAGAAGATGCAGTAACTATGACACTTATGACAAAATGAGGCACCAGAGATGTCAGCACTTCTCTCAGGATTAGACAATCAGGCAAAACACAGATCCCCAAACATCCACAAATAGGGAAACCCAGAAAATGTCATCTCTGATATTGTCAGCCTCAATCAAACTGTAGCTATGGCTTGTGTCTATAGCCACCCAAAAACTATACCCTGATCTTTCTACCTGAACCTGGGCCCAGTTTTGTATCATGGATCATGAACTCATTCAGCATTGCTGCAGTATCTCTCTGGGGGAAGTCACTTGCCCTCAGTTCAACCACCATTATGACCCCACCTTGCAAGGTTCCAGGGGCACATACCAAGCCTTATTCGCAGAGAGAAAGAAAAGCCCTATGAAACATGAAAATTGATTTAATCTTAACCCCATCCAAAGACAAACCCCCAGGCCAGACAGTCATAGAACCAGGGAACATTCTAACCTTAATGCTAGCTCTAGCCTTTTGTTGCCCAATGTCACCACAAACTGAAACAAGAAATGGGGACACTTCAAGTAACGCTCACAGAAGAAAGAGGAGCCTGGGGCTCCATGTTCCAGAAAGAATCACATGCAGAAAAGCCTATCCAGAACATTAAGGGATCCCTATGGCTAGAAGGTTTTGCTGTAGCCAGACACAACCCTTTGCTGGAGGAGGGGCCTGCAGACTTACCTGTACCCAGGATCAGCCAGCCTGGCTCCAGAAACAAACACACATGTACGCACCACACTCCTCCCCCCCGCCTCTCTCTCACACACACACAAAGAAACATAGGATGGACCCTTCTGCCTGCCAGGCTTGAAGCTAACACTACACATACAGCTTCTGGCCTTCCTCCAAGAGCTTATATATATGCCAAGTCTCTTTTATGCACTACCTGCTGGTAGCTCAAATCCTCTGGCAAAGTAAATAGCCACAAGCCTTATTCCCACTTCAACCTTCATCCTCACCATGCTGTTTTGTTCTTTCCTCAGGTATGTTCATGGGATCTTGTCACATAGAAAGCCATAGGAAGCTAAACACAGCCCTAGTACCTAATGGGGAAGTACAGACCCTGATCTAAAAGTCAACTGCTAGACCCAGTGCTATCACAGCCTAGAGCCAGACCTGCCCTTAGGCCCTGCCCAAAAAATTCTGTTCAGTCCACACAGGCCATTTTTCATCATATTCCCCATGTCTGCAAGGGTCACTGGCAGACAACTGTCTTGGAGTATGGGGGCCCTGTTATACCACCACTACTTATGACAACCACAGCACATTCAGGAAGGATCTATGGGTGGGCAGAACTCACCGACATCCGAGTCTTTGTGGGTCTTGATTACCTCAGCAAGCTCAAAGTTCCCTGCAATGATTGCCACCTGGGAGAAAGAAGCCAACACATGGAGGGCAAGGAGGGAGGCTTAGCAACCCAGATTTGACCCCCACCCCAGGTGCTCCCACTGGGATCCTCCCAAAGTCACCCTTCTCTCTATTCACAGCAGTCAATGTCTATTGGGATATCACTTCTAACGGACAAGAGATAGAATCCCAGTAACTAGGGTTGGTCCACTGCCCTCATCTGCCTAAGGCCAAGGGTGCTTCTGGAACACAAGGCTTAGAGTTAAAACATGAACAGATTTGTACACACTAGCAGAACTTTGAATCTGCCCCTATATGCAGCCATGATTCCTATATCAACCCTGGCCTTGCAGCTTTTCAGTTCTCGTTCTTCCTGTGTCCCCAAACCTGGACATCTAATAGACCGTGAGGTATCTACTTCCAGATGTGCCCAAATCTTTAACCTCTGCCACTCTCAGGGGCCTGTGCTCCCATTAAGAATAATAGACACCCCCTTCCCTGCTGCTTTCATGATCCATAAGTTCCCATCATACCCTCAACTCCTCCAAAACTCCAGGCCACAGAGATGATAGCTACCTGGCTACCCAGTGCCAACCAGGCCTGGCAGACTAATGACTCTGAAATATAACCTGGGTCAACTCAGGTATAGTAGCGGTCACACACCCCTCTCAGGTTTGTCCTCTGCACTCCTGACAGCTTCTGGGGACTCAGGCCCACCACACAGTCTTTCTGTCCTCTCCATCTGGCCCTTCTCCAGAGTCCTGGAGTCATGACATTTATCCGTGGGAGGAGGGTAACACTCCTCCCCACCACCCCAAACACTCCCTCAAATTCTGGGCACCACACTAGCCCACGCACAGTTCCACCTTTGGTGGCAATCCTGAGAATGAGCACTCCCTTCTCGCCTTCTGAAGAAGAATCAAAGTTCAAAGTCAATAGGACACTCAAGCGACCCCTGGGTCAGCCTTACACTTCCTGTACCTGGAAGGCTGTCTGGCTGTTGTAATTTCGGACGTCCTTGTTGGCACCACGGAAAAGCAGGACACGAGCACAGCTCTCCTGTTGGGAGGCAGCAACAATCACACTGGGCAGCAGGAAAGGCAGGGCCAAACCAAGTTGGGTCCACACATAGAAATGCATGCACAGGTATGCAGAGCCCAGGAATCACTCACACACAGAGAAACGCATACCGAGGCTAAGTAGGACTATGTAAACAGCTCTCATCTGAGAGCTAGTTGTTAAGAACATCCACATGGACACACTGACACATGTGTTCAGAGAACAGACGTGTTTAAGTAGGCCACACAGTAAATGGACACAGAACATACACACAGGAGGGTCACACAAGCTGGGATGTACAGTCACCTATGTGCAGACACATACATACATGAAGTCACACTTTACCACTCACAGAAAATGTAAATGAACCTACAGAGGGGTGAGACTCGAGGTATACCTGGTTGTAGAGGGCACAGATGTGCAAGGCTGTGTTACCCGAGGCATTCTGGGCACCCATGTTGGCCCCATAGAACAGCAAGTGCTCCAAGTGCTGCACATGTCCAAAGCGGCAGGCCTAAGGAGAAAAGCGGTACTGAAGCATCCCAGACAGAGGCATACAGCCTGGACCCAGCCCAGGCCCCCTGCTCACCTGATGGATTTCTTGCCAGCCATTCTCATCAGTGGTCCCCAGCTGTGCATGATCATGGAGAAGCAGCTCGCAGCAGAGGGCATCCCCGCCCCCTAGGGCACTATGGTACAGGGGCGTCAGGCCGCGGCTGTCCTTGTAGTCAGGTGAAGCCCCCAGGTCCAGCAGGGTCTGAGGGTAAGGCACCTCAGGATCCATGCCAGGCCCAGCTTTCTGCATGAGCCCATGAGTCCCTCCAGACCGGGGTCCTGCCCTCACTAACCGTCAGTGCCCCTGCATTCCGCTGGCGGGTGGCACAGTGGACAGCTGTTAGCCCATCTCGGGTTCGGAAGTCCAGATGAGCACCGCCATTGCGAAGAACTTTCAGGAGGTCAGTGGCATTGTCCAACTGTGCGGCAAGGCTCAGAGGGCACTCTGGATTTGGAGGCAAATGAAAGTTAGGGTCCCAGCTGCTCAAAAAAAAACAAAAAAAAAAACTGGATTTGGAGGCAAATGAAAGTTAGGGTCCCAGCTGCTCAAAAAAAAAACAAAAAAAAAAAAAAAAACCAAAAAACAGGCCCCTCTTCTCACCTCCTGAGTCAGGGTCATGGAAATTGGGGTCCAGCCCCTTGTCCAGCAGGCGGGCCACCTTGTCTGTGCTGTGTAGCTGGACATAGTCCATGAACTTCTTCAGGTTTGCCTAGAACACCAGCCATCCCAGTCAGTCATGGCCACAGCCATGATCCCCCTTCCTCCAGCAAACTCCTGACCACCTGTAAGGCACACACTGTCCCTAACCCCAATCTGTCTAACCTGCCGTCTGGTTTGATCATCCTCAACCTATACTCACCCCAACTCTAGTTCCATCTTGGCTAGACCCATGTGCTTTCAAAGCCCTTCTTTGCAAACCCACAACAGCTGTCAGCCTGAGCCTGGCCACTTTCATCACAGCCAGGCCACCTTAGTCACAGACCCTGCCTGAAAGAGCACTGAGTCCATTCTGATAGGAGCCAAATACTAACAACTCTAGTCTCATTGCTCTGGCCATGGTAGACCCCTGAAGCACCCATGACATGCCTTTGCCTTTTGATCCTTCCACCCAGCAAAGCCTCACTAGCCTTGTCTGGTGGCATAGATGCCATACACACAGGGCAAGTCGTCCCCAACCCAAGTATCTAGAAACAGCATGTATCATAGAAAGAAGAGGGTGCCTCGTGGACCAGTATCACGGGGTCAGGTTGATGAAACCAGTGGGAAAATCTATGTTAATCATCTTGGATGGACCTTAGACAGCCTCAAGGTAACAGAGGAAGAGGATAGGGACAGCTGGACCCCAGGCAAGCAAGAGGACAGGGATGCAGTGAGAAATTCAGATTCATCTGAAACACAGACAAGACTCACTGAAAATCAAGTCACTCATGTCTTGTGGGCCCCTGAGAAAAGATCTAGAGAACTCACAGTGACAGGGTCACACAAGGGCCAATGAAAGGAGACAAGAACCAGGGCCACTGATTGTCACCTACCCTGGAACAGTGGAAAAGTCTGCCACAGCAGCCTAAGGATCTAGGACCATAGGTATGGTCACAAAGCCCTTTCCAAAGCTCCAGAGACCATCAATGAAGTTCCCACAAGCAAATTCCCATTGGCCCACAAAGCTGGGGTACTTGGTAAAGGGCTATGACAGCCACCTTGCCCCCTGGACACCCACAAAAGTGTAGGGCCCCTTCAAAAAAAACAAAAAAAGCAAATGGAATCAGGCCCACCTGGGAGCAGGTTCCAAAAGAAAGGACACTATACAGGTGTACCCAGGCCACAGAGGGTAGAACCTAGTTCTACCTAGGCAGAGCTGGGCCAGCTTCACTGGACAGTCACAGCAGGTGACCCAACCCCTCTGCCTCACCTGTGAAATGAGGTAGCAAATCCCTCCTAGGAGAGAATTAGTGGGAGATCTAATTCACTGGACCTCTTGCCCTCATGGCCAACACATTGAATGCTAATTTGCTTCCCTCCCCCCCCCCAGCTTCAAACAAGGCACTCACCCCTATACCAGAAAAAAACTCTGATTTAGCCGGAACCTATTACTGGACCAGTCCCAGGCACGGAGCCTGTGCCCAGCCCAGCACCAGGTCCTGAAACCCACTTCAGGGAAAGCAGGGTGGCCCAAGGCAGAATAGGGGCAGTGGTTATGGGAAGTCCCCTCCAATGGTTGCCTCTTTACCTTTGTGTGTAGCTTTGCAAACTGCTTGTCATCTATGAGGTTCTGGGCATAGACTCTCCGCTTGTATCGAAACTGCTCAGATAAAAGAAAAGGTGGAGAAAAGGTACCCACACAGGTCCAGTGAGCAAGTGGTGGTGGCCCTCCTGCACACACTTTCACTGCAACACAGCCATACAAGTCCCAGACACCACGCGTACAGAATGGACAGGCAACAACTGACAGCTACTGACTACCCCACTACAGAGAAATGACGTGTGGTCCAGAGAAGACCTGGCAGGCCTACAGTCTGTCTGTCTCATTCCCACCACCAGGTCTTGGAAAACTCCACTGTTCTCACAAAATTTGAAACTAAGCTTTTATTCCTAGACACTTCCTCTCCAAGTAGAAATAACCCAATTCCTGGTTCTACCACGAGAATCATAACAACTTTGACCTTGGTGTACACACACACACACACACACACACACACACACACACACACAAGACCTTACAATTAGGACTCAATCTCCATCCTGGAATGGCAACTCAAATCACCGTTATGTATCATAAATGGTGCTAATATTTTGGGCCAACCTCAGGAGACTTGGGGGTGAGAGGAAAGAGACAAACGTGCACACTGATAACACTATTAACACCACATAACCCTTAAGGCACTCACTCCTTCTCACACTCCTCCCTCCAGTAGTCAAACTGCTCACACCACACATGCTGAGTGCATGTGCGGCAGGTGCTCATTGTGTGCTGTACACATTGTTTGCTGCAAGCGCTCTACACACTGCTCACACTGTTCTCCACGCTTAAGCTGCAACACATCACTTACCACACACATGCAGCTCACACTTCACCCTACCCACTGCACTCAGTGTACCCACCTCGGGCTCTCAGCACACTGCTCAGGCTGCACACAGCCCCCCACCGCTCCTGCTGCCAACTCCTCCCGGCCTGCCCTTCATTGCTCCAGCCACGGAGCTCAAAGATCACACCCAGTGCGCTCCATTCCACCCCCACCCTGGTCTGCCCAGCACCTCCAGATAGGGCAGGGGCGTGTCCAGGTTAGGCGGGTAGTCCTGTAAGAGCCGCTCTTCATCCAGGAACTTGCCGGCGCGACCCCGAGAGGGCGGCTGGAATAGCCCGTAGTTGAGCGCGTCCTGAAGGCTGTGGTTGAGGGCGCAGAGCACACGCTGCTTGGCGGCCCACACGGGCGCGGTTGGGTCCAGACGCAGGCACTTCTGCAGCGGAGCGAGTCGTGAGCCCGGACCTGCGAGAGCAGGGCACCGCGCCCC